CTTTCCCTTCCCCATCTCGCTCTCCCCACCCCTTCCCACCATGGTTCCTGAACGTGTTCGCGTCTGGCTGCCATGCGAGCTGCTCGTGAAGTGACTTAGAGTGCACTCTTATATTGGGGTGGTTGTAATCACGACCGAAACATAGCCCCAAAGTGAGAGCATAACATGAATTTTGTTCGCGATCGTGCTAGCGGTTGATCCCTTCACTCATCATCTCATCGCTTTCACAGTGCTTTTGCTTCCTCAGTTAATGCTGTTATTCCTAATCTGTATGCATCCAAGATAAGATACCCCGCCCCCTTCACGTAAATCCCACCCACTCGAAGTAAACCTTCGCAATATTTTACTTGCCCCCACCCTCTCACAACGGCAGTTGACCCCACGCACGCCTTTGCTCCTGCACATGTTCACGCCGAGGGGCTTCTTCTAGCGAGCAGCTCGTATGACTTGGAGTGCACTACGTGGTTTCTATAGTGCAGGTTGTAATCACGACCAAAGCAGCCCCTCAAAGCGGTACTATAGCATGGATTTTATTCGCGGCCCTGCTAGCGGTTGTTCCCTCCACTCATCGTCTTATCGCTTCCAGTGGTGCTAGCTATGGTGTTCTTCTAATCCAGCAAAATCTAGGCTCCCTCATAGTACACCCCCACTCATCCCACTTACCCTCACCCTCTCCCTGTACCGCTCTCCCCACACTGGCCCTCGCACGGCTCAGGGTGCAGACTAAGCACGCGGAGCAAGCTCGTGCATGGCTTCGAGTGTACTAAATGCCTGTCTTATATGCTATGAGGGTATCCACAATCAAAACAACATCGTATGGCCTTTTTTATTATGGATCAATTTGCAATTTTTCTAGCGGTTGTTTTCTTATCTATTGTTGTTGCCGCGTGCTTCCACTCGAGCAAGCGCTACGCACCCCCTCACCGGACCCCTTCCCTTGCACATGCTCAGGTCCAGCTGAGCACGTGCAGGGGTTGGAAGCAGAGGGGAGGGGTCACTCGGTGCCCCCCCCCTCGGCTCCACCCCACCCTGCCCCCGCACGAGCACACGTCCAGCTGCCACGGCAGCAGCTCGTGGCAACCGGCTCGGAGTGTAGCCGAGTGGTTTGTTTATATCTGCTCGTTATCAATTCAAAACCTTACTGGATTGATACATCTTGCATCCGATGGGTTTTCCCGGTTTGGCTCAGCGTCGTGTTCTTCTTTTCACTAACGTGTCCGTAAAGCATTTATGGCGTGACGGACAGACCATACAAACGAACATACATCATACGCGACAAGAACCGACACACAAAGTTTCTGCTTATAGGAATGTAAGGATATATGCTATGAAGGGTATCCACAATCAAAACAACATCGTATGGCCTTTTTTATTATGGATCAATTTGCAATTTTTCTAGCGGTTGTTTTCTTATCTATTGTTGTTGCCGCGTGCTTCCACTCGAGCAAGCGCTACGCACCTCCTCACCGGACCCCTTCCCTTGCACATGCTCAGGTCCAGGCTGAGGCACGTGCAGGTGATTGGAAAGCGGGCAGAGGGTAGGGGTCCATCGGTCCCCCCTCCCCTCGGCTACACCCGCCGCTGCCCCGCACGAGCACACGATCAGCTGCCCACGGAGCAGTTGCTCTTTGCAAACGGCTCGGAAGTGTACCGCGTGGTTGTTTTATTATCTCGTTATCAAATCAAAACACCTGATTCGATACATCTGCACCGAATGGGTTCCCGTTTGGCCTAGCGTCGTGTTGCTTTCCTTCTTATCACTAACGTCCCGTAAAGCATTTTGCGGACGGACAGACATACAAACCGACATACATACATACCGACAAACCGACACACGAAGTTTCTGCTTTATAGAATGTAAGGATTTCGACGTAAACACGGCGCCGCTATTTTAAAACCAAGTACACAGCCACGCCTACCCGATCTCAGGGATTTCGAGTATATCTCAGAAGCTGGAAAAGCCTGCCGTGCTAATAATAAGTTTGAAGTTTCACCACGAAAAAACCGTTTTGAACGCAGGCTTCGAATTACTACTGCGCCTAAAGAGAACGTGAGGAGTCTTGTTTAAAGTCAGTGTTCTTCTTGAAAAGGATTGCGTTCAACTAACCAGTCCATGAGATACACTTCATATCCTAGGAATTGACCTTTCGTGCTGCGTACATTCATTCGAACGTGGCTCACAGCTTCAGAGGGATACTTGCAGTTCGCAGAACAGTTGCAAGCATACATTAATCCATTACAAAAGGGCAAGCGCTTGTATCCCAATGAAATATTCACCGAACAGGCGCATACCTACGCCGTGTTCATGAAATACTAACCGACGCCCACATCCATCATATGAATGACTGACAAGGGAATGGTTTGAACTTCCCATGGAACTTTGAATGGAGACCTAGGTACATCGATAGAGCCTCGAATGCTGATTACGAATATGCAGATTAAAAGTGCTACGGAGACCTCCCAGACGAGATCTGGGTGGTCAAAGTTTGAGTTCTGGCTCGTAAGCGCTGCTGATCGATGCTCTCGTAGGCCAGGGGGGCGCGGGGGCGGCGGCTGCCGGGGCGGGGGGCGGGCCGCGCCGCGCGGGCGAGCGCGCCCCGCGGCCACCGTGGCCTATGTGGGGTAATGGTCTCGCTTTCAAGTCAAACGCATGCGGGTTTGCATCCGGTTGGCGCGAAATTTTTGCTTCGCTCCGTATAAGAGCTTCAACTCTAATTTTCGAAATTCTTCCGAATTTACGGCCCAGCAGGGCAAGTAGATCAAGTAGCATCAAAGTCATAGACGACGTACTTGATCTATATGATTTTGGTCTAATCTGCCCCTCTGAAGCACAATATTACCATTCGACCAATTGAAAGTTTTAGCGTAGAGAATTGTTCATAGATTTCGACCCCCTGAACACGAATATCACTTCCTTCGACGAGAAACGCTCGTCTGGCCAAATTGCGATTCTGGGCAAAACTTTGAATTGTCGGATGGGTAATATGTTCAGAGAGGGCAGATATGACCAATCCATACTAGATCGAGTACGTCGTATACTTGATGTACTTGATCTACTTGCCCTGCTGGGCCGTAAATTCGGAAAAATTTTGAATTAGAGTTGAAGCTCTTATAGCGGAGGCCCGAAGGGCAAAAACTTTCCGCGCCAACCGGATGCAAACCCGCATGCGTTTGACTTGAAAGCGAGACCATTACCACGAGGCCACGGTGGCACTGCCGAAGCATCGATCAGCAGCGCTTACGAGCCAGAACTCAAACTTTGACCACTTCCCATGATCTTCGTCTGGGAGGTCCACGTAGCACTCTTTAATTGGCATATTCCTAAATCACAATCCGAGCTCATGGAGTACCTAAGTCTGCCATTCAAAGTTTCGATGGGAATTTCATAACGCATTTCCTTGTGAGATGTACCAATGTACCGGTGGGATGGTTGGCATGAGTGGGTGTTCTCTGGGAGTGACGCATTGTTTGAAACTGGCTGATTCTGTCGGACCTCTAAAATCTCCTCCGTGGAAGGGAATAGGGCCACTTGACTCAGCGTGCAAGAGCGCAGGCCCCATTGCCCTTCAGCTGCCTCTGTACCAATGACCTTAAAATTGCTGTCCCCTCGCACACATCCACCGCTTGGAATAGAGCCAACTTCTTTTTTCGTGGAAGTCATAACTCTATCTTTTCAGCAAGAAAGAACTAATTACTCAAAGATCTAAACATTGCAAAGAGTAAATTCAGGCAATGACCTCTATCCGAAGTCTCGACTTATTCGTTCACTGTTCATTTTCGGCGTCTATGCCTACGTCATGGATGTTGGAGGGACGTCAGAAGAACTCATGCTCGAAACTAAAAAATCTCAGCCACTTTTCCCTGCATATTGACGGTTTTTGTGTAGTAAGTTACCCATAAAGGCTGTACATGCATAGGGTTTCTATAACAGTATGATACTTCTAGTTCCATGACCTCGACTGCCATTTGCCGCCGTCGCTAACGTGCATCTCAATTTCGGTGTCCCTTCCGCCGATTGGAGCACGGCGATCTGTTTCTTCATTGATGGCCCTGGTGAGGCGACTAGCAAATGTCAATGCTTATCCAGATTTGGAAGAACTGCACTTACAGGTGTGTTCCAAGGCATGATCAGTTCCATTATTAGGGTATAGTAATCATATCGATATGTATTCATTAGATTTGACAGCACCGTCCAGATCTTATAGGCGGAGGCCGTCATGTGCTTTCCCCATTGGTGCCCCTCTATTTAATGTTATATAGAGGAAGGGCGTGTTATTGAGGGATGCCTAAGTGGTTGACTGACTCCGCCCACACGTCCAACACGAGCTGTGCTTCCGATTCTCAAGCCATATCGTTTACACGGGAAGCTTTGGCACTATTCAACTATTACTAC